AGATGCGATCGCGGGCCAACAGAAATCACTGTACAGATTGGAGGTCCGCAGAAACAAATGTACATACGTTGATAGTTATTTTCGACAGAAATAAAAATACGGTTATAATTCAAAATTTAGTTTTATTAATTTAATTTCATTTATTTGATTTACCATAAAAATAAAATAATGTAGTTATACCAGTATATCAAAAGAAAATTTGCCTTATTGTGGTAGATTAAAAACACGTCGCGGACCGTACAAATAAAAAAATGAGGGCTGCACGCGGCCTGTGGGCCGTGCTTTGGATAGCCCTGTTTCAGATAATATATTGGTTTCTATATTAAATAAATGATTCTTACAATTTTTTGAAAATTATGGCATCCAAGCCAAAACGGAAATTAAAAACGCATGAACTGCATATGACATTTAGCTAGATAACAACTCAACTGATAAAAGAATCTTCAACAGATATTGAAAAATTTAATTTATCTTATTTTAACTCTTATTAACAACAATGGTTCGGAAACAAGATGCACACTTTCCCTTCCAAAATCAAAGTTTTTAATTAAACAAAAAAGAAATATTTTTTTTATTTTTTAAAACTTATCAATGCACTTTTACGGTGTACACGAAAAAACCGCCCAATAATTTATAATGATTAAAATCAAAATAGCAGTTTGAGTTGCTGCAATAACAATGCAGTTGCATTTGTAATTGCAACAACAAAGCCGACTTTATAAAATCAACCCTTTTTGTAACTACAAACGAAATAAAGTACAAAAAATTCAGGAAATTGAAAAAAATATCAACCCAAATAACCAAAAATTGCAAAATCCCTATGCGTGCTCTTTCTCCCATACCAAACTGAAATGCAACTGCAACTGCAATTGCAATTGCAGGCAGTACAAAGCACACAAATTGCAATTCGCTGTTGCAACATCAAAAAAAGGTAAATGACTCATAATCAGTAAGCGACATTGAAATTACTTATGCATTTTAAACAAAGTTACTGTTGTTATTGTTGTTTTTGTTATTATATTTTTTTTTTCGCAATTATAAATTTGTCTGAAATGCGGAAAAAAATAGAATCTCAAACAAAAACCCAGCATCAACTTTTCGTGTCACAAAAAATGACTTCAAATTGCTTCCAAAAAATTATTTTAATGACAAAAACAAAATAAAAGCGAATGCAACACTGACGTTGCATTTAAAATTGTGCAGCAAAAACATCTACAGAATACCCAACTCCTGCAAGCGCAGCTGGTGAATACGTAACAAGCTGGTGGCTGGTATATACCTTTTTCAGGTGCTATGTCTTCCTTACCTGTCTGCGAAATATTGTACCCAGTCCAACTCCTCGTCTGATAAGTCAAGCAACTTTTCGTCTGTCCTTGCCACATTTTTTACAATTTTCCATTTTTTTTTTATTTTCCCCAATTTTTTTTCTACATTACTTAAATATTTTTTTGTTTTTGTTGTCAACATGCACTTCATCTGCTTTTTTTTGTGATTTTTTTCTACGTACTTTTGTGTATTATTTTTTTTTTGAATGTTTTTACATTTTCAGACATTTTCCAGACAAAAACAAAGCACAAGAAAAATGGTCCCTTTCCGGTTCGCTTGCATAAAGAAGCTGCGTTTCCGTTACTAAATACGAAACGTGATTTTTTTGTTCTTTTAGAATTTTCATTTTCAGTTTTTGTGCATATTTTTGTCTTGCTGCACATTTGCTTCCGGTGTGCCCAACAAAGCACATTAAAAAAACAAAAAATGAGAACATAGTAAATTTTTACATAATATTTTTAATTTTTTGCAACTACCTAAAGCCACCCAAGTCAGTCCAAGCCAGCCCAAGTCAGCCCAAGCCAGCCCAAGTAAGCTAAGTTAGATCAAAGTATCTTTATCAAACTCTACTGCATAACATGCATACATAAATAACACATCCCGGCACTCAGACCAACTTCACCTGGTGAAAATTATTTTGAAATTCGTCTAATGAACTTCAAAAACATGTTGGATATCTTGTCGCTTGTCATCTTTTGTCTCCAAAGGAAATTTTCACAATAATAACTAAAGCAAAAAAAACAACTAAAAATACTGAAATAAAAAATAAAACATAAAACCCAAAAAAATCAAAAAATGGATCCTTTCTTTGCTGACACTGACTGCAGCAGACGTTTAAAAAGCACTCATTGTCAGCCCGGAAGAAAGCCAACTCTAGAAAAAATGATTTGGCTTCTTTGTTCGAATGCGATATTATCAACCCAAACAAATGGTTGGGGAAGTCCAAATGGAAGCACATAGAAAATTTGTATATATGTGTCCTTTACCCCAAAAAGTTTGTGTAACTCTTGCCTGTAGAAAGTGCATTAATTGTATAAGACTTGGTGTTGGTTAATGTTGCAGAAGCAGCTATTTAAGTAATTCGGAACAAACTGAAATGTATTGTTGGAACAGCTGTCAACTGCAAACAAACGTCAAAAAGGTTTAAAAGTCGTAAATACTTATGACAATTGACCAACAAAAAAAAATAAAATAAAATCAAAGTGATTTCAGTGATATCTACTTATGTGCAAGACAAAAGAAAATTTTGTTTATGTCGAAATATCAGAAATAAATTTAATCACTAATATGACATATAATTTGTTGTTTAAAACAAGTATGAAAAATATCTGAAAGAAGCTAATAAGTTAGTACAAGAGTAAGTTAATATAATTATATTAATAATAAGAATTGAAAATAATCAAAGGAGGCCATAGGTTATACTGATGAATAGATCTTTAGAATTTGGATTCCACTTCACACAAGAAACTCTTTGTAATATCTTTTAAAAAAATATATAACTCTCTTTTGTAAATTAGAAAATTTTTCCGAGTCTGTTATAAAAACCCAAAAATTTGTTTAAATTAACTTGTATAATACTGTAAGGATAATCAAATACTATAAACTTATATAAGTAAGGTTGCAAATTGTATATATTGCGTAGATTATATTGGAACTCATATTTTAAGAATTGGATATTCACGTCACACAACTGATTTATTGTAATATCCATTAAAAAGTCTATCTATCTATAGAAAATTAGAAAATCTCTTGGAATCCTTAATAAAAAATTAAAACTTTGTTCAAAATTAGCTTTTTTCTTTAAGGAAAAATGACATTATATATATTAATAATTATAATTAAAATATAATGACTATATAAAATATAATGACATATAATAATTATAGTTATAATATTTATATTATAATATATGCCTCCAACAGACATATATTAGACACCAATAGAACGATGCACATTGTTTACTAATAATTAAAAAACAAACACACACTACTGGTAACCCTTTAACATGAGAATATGGAATAATAACTAGTATTTTCCTTGCTTGAGGAATCCTAAGTTAGTGTCTACAGCACACCTACTCTAAAGTGACTGTGAACAATTGGTTAGTCCACTATAACAAGTACTGCATTTAATTTTAACAATAAATGATTCAGGTGAATTTGATATAATAGAGTGCAATTCTGAATTAGTGTTCAGCGCTCTCTTTTTGTTGTACTTTCGCCTAATCTCGGCTTTCAAGAATATATTTCTATATATTTTATTTTCCGTGACTTCGTAAAAAGATAAGGTTTATCTAACGTTTTCAACAACGCTTGCTAATGATGGTTTCCACATTAGTCCAAAAGCGCTTATATCAAAACAATCTCAAAGATAATATACGAACTTCATTGGTTTACTGATATTATTTAAATATTTTGTAGATAATCAAAAACACTGCATACAGTACAAATAGATACATATATATTTTAAGTCCGACAAAGTAGTCCCAAACATATAGCAATACATACTTATAGTAAAAGAACAAATTAAAAGAACACAACCAAGAACGACAGCAAGAACGAAAATGTTAGCAGTAGAAAAATAATTGGCAAATAAAAGTGCCGTTACGCTTTTTACTTTCTAAAGAAATCAATACGCAAACATTTTTAATATTAAAGCAACCAAAGTACCAGGTAACAAAAAATTAGAAATAAGAAAAAATTGAAACAAATTCTGTACAAAATCTCCATTCAAATATTTTCAATATCAAAAGAATAAAATAAAGAAACAGTGTTTTTAAACAATTAAAATTTAAAAATAATTTTTAATATATTTTATTATATAATATAGTATTGTATATAGTTTGTATATGAAGAAAAAAGTTACAAAATTAGTCTATGTTATGTACACAAAAACTAAATGAATTTGAGAGTTTATATAGCTTTTTCGACATAATTAGAATTGTACTTTGTCTTCAACAAAAGAAAAAAAATGCGAGTAACAAAATTACGGACTACGTAAATTTTGCATAAGGTTTTTTATTTTTTCGTTTGCAATAAATTAAAAATATTTTATCAATTCATGTCGAAATGACGCCAAAATGACGAATATCAAAAATATTATGCAAAAATTAGCACAACGAACCCTCATTGCCAGTTGAAGTTATCAGTTCAATTTCAATAAAATACAAAAGAAAAAAATTTCAAAGAATTTCACAAATTTATTTGCACACAATAAAACATAAATATATATATAAGTACGTTCCACAATAATAAAAATATTACTTAAGTAATCAACGAAATTGTGACATCAATCAAAAAATAAATAAATATAACAGACAAAGCGGCAAAGCTTTGGGGGTCTTAGCAGACACAAATGAGAAATCAATGAATTTGGAAATTCAGAACAAATTGTAAATTAAAAAAAAAACAAAAAAAAAACATTTAATCTTATCTTAATGTAAAAAAAAGAAATGATAATGTATATTGCATAAGTGTGACTTATCATTTTTACTTTTCAATATGAATGAAAACATTTAAGGTATGACCTTATGATTCAACAGAGAAATTAGGATCTATACTCCACCAACAAATTTAGCAAATTCTTATTTCTTATTCAATTCATTCTCTTGTATGAATTATCATTTTTTAACTATAATATTATAAGTAAATTGAAATGTTACAAAAGATTTAAAAATGTTTTCTATTTGTAGAACAAAATCATCACGTGCCACGCCCACACCAACAGCCAGACGCACCTATAGCGATGAGGACTTAAATAATGCACTACAAGATATCTTAACTGGCAAATTGGGTACTCGCCGAGCTGCTGCCCAATATTGCGTTCCTCGCTCAACTTTGCGTAACAAGGTTAGCAAAATGACAACAGAATCAAACCGCACTAGTACCCTGGAAATGGACGATAAAATGTCCGGTGATGAAGGTGAAGACAGTAACGCCTCAACACCACAACCAGAAACGCTAGCTGATGATATACCAAAAGGCTTAGAGCGTGTATCAAGTTATTTGCCTAAGTTCAGTGAAAATAATGGAGCAGAGTTATCTGATATTAGCAGAGGAAGAGACATGCTCACAACAAATGCATCACCTAAATTGCCATCCATGCCATCAGATGGTTTGAAAAGACAAACCAGCTCACCATTGAGTATACCACAGTCCCAAGCATCACCGCAACCGCAACCATTGTTATTGGATGTTAATATGCTTCTACAAGCATTACTGATCTCAACTCGTCCACAATTGGATACAATGACCGTAAGTGATTTGTTTACAGCGATTAGATCGGTTTTGAGTGTAACGGCTGGTGATAATGCGGTTATGAACAATGGCAGCACGAATATTTTGGATCAACGTTTACTACTACAGCAGTTGTTACAGCAACAGCAGCAACAACAACAACAACATGTAACACAATTTTCGCATCGACTACCAAAGTCTGAAACACCTGAGACTAGCTCTTCATTGGATCCCAATGAGTTATGCGATGATCCGTCGAATATATTGAAAATTCCGTCCTACAAACCAATTGCAGGCACTACAAATTCCAGCAGTGCTGCTGTAAATGCTAGAGTCTCAAGTTCACCATCGTTGCATTGCAACAACAATAATAACAATAATGTCAATGCCCGTAACGGTGATAGTCCACACTCTGCGGTATCGCCGCATATTGCTAGTTCTATGCTAGCAGCTGCTGTGGCAGCAGCTAGTGGCAATAGCACCGCTGTGGCCACAAATCGTCAAAATCCTAACATCCCAGCTATGATGCACGCACGCAATCATGGTACACCCGATTCTCAATCGCCCCCAGCAATGACAATACGCGATGTTATTGCCAATAGTATACACCGCACTATGAATGAACAAGCCAATAAAGATGCACATGCTGCAGCGGCTGCATCTATGTTGGTATTGGCATCTGACGCCGAACGCAACAGTAACAGTGGAAATAGTGAATATAAAAAGCCTAGTATTTCTGTTGTAAAGAATATTGGTGGTACTGATACCTCGCGTTTTGGCACAGCACCAAATTTGTTGGCAGCAGTGAGCGCTTCGTCACATAACACACATCCACATCACCAACCGCATCCACATTTGCAACATGTTCCATCACATCCGCATCATCAACATCATTCTGCTATGCATCTAAGTCGCCAGGATGCAGCAGCACTAGCAGCCGGTAAAGGCACACGGCCAAAACGTGGCAAATACCGTAATTACGATCGTGACAGTCTTACGGAAGCTGTGAAGGCGGTACAACGCGGTGAAATGTCGGTACATCGCGCTGGAAGCTATTATGGTGTGCCACATTCCACGCTCGAATACAAAGTAAAAGAGCGACATTTAATGCGACCACGTAAGCGTGAACCGAAACCACAACCAGGACTTGATAGTACCAGCAGCGCAAGCACTTCAAAATCAAACTCTAACATTCCCGGTCTAAATAATTTGGACAAAATAAAATCTAATGCTGCTGGCACCAACTCTAAGCTCAGTAATGCACTCAAAAGTAATAGCTCGAATGCAACAGCTTTCTCAAATGTGTCAGCCTTCACAAATGGCATGAAAATGCCCATGCTCGATCCTAGTATGGCAGCACAACTACAATATGGGGCTCCATTCGTTCATTGGCCACATACAACAACAGCTTTCAACCAAATGCAAATGGACTTTAACCGCAATGCGCAAAGTGGCAATGCGGCCGCTGTGAAATCTGATTTATTTAAAACTCTCTATCAGGAGGAGGCAATGCGTGCTGCAGTAGCAAGTGGCAATGGCAGTAGCACTGCCACTAGTGCCAATAGTCCCAGTCCAATTGCCAGCCCTATGTTGGGCCAAAACCATCATGGTCTTTACGACGGTACTAATGTTAATGACACTTCGAATATACTTGATGATATTATTCGTCAGACTTTGGACCGCAAAAGTGGTCAGACTCCTTCGAATGTATTACTTGATCAATTACTGATCAACAAAACTCCATTACCTTTTACCAATAATCGACAAAATGATTATAGTGGTTGCGGATCGAATAAACGTACAGGTAGTCCTCTATCATTTAGCAATATCAAACGTGAACGCTCAAGCCCTATGCAGAGCAGCGATGACGACGATACAGCTTCGCAAAGCGGCACTGAAGACGTACCCGAACACAATAACAACAAAAGTAAAAATCTTAGTGGTAATGGCGGTTTGATGGTAGGCGAGAATGCAATAAAGCGACAACAACGAAGTCGTATGACTTCCAGAGACTCCGATGCAAGCAGTTTGAAAAGTGAGTTGATGATACTTAATCAAAGTCACAACAACAATAGCAATAACAAAATGGCGATTGATTTAAATGGCAGTGCTACATTAAAGTCAGAGATACCCGATGACGTAGATAAGACAAACTCAAATACGACCTCAATTTTGCACGAGAAGTTGGCGCAAATCAAAGCTGAACGGGAGACGGAGGAGAACTTATAGAGAAAATTACAATATGGCGTAAGCATATATGACTTATCGTGATGTAGAGATTTATATAGTTCAACTCAAATGTCAGCTTTTTACTAAATCAACTAACACAATTCGTATGACGTAAGTTCACAACAGTTTAATAAGTGTAACAGCAGGGTTAAGGTTATCAGAGGGACGAAACTCAGAGAGAGTTTCAATTTTTATTAAGAGATATGCGCGTAGAAATCAGAACGAAATTGTGGTTAAATTATGGGACAATAAGCTATAGAAGATGCAATGTTTAATGTGCGCGTTTAGTCAGTTTTTAGCGAAAAAAGTAAGAAAATTAAAAAAATCTACAAATATGTATATATCATTTTGTAGTGCTACATCACAAAAATCAATTCAATACAATGTACAGTTTCTACATAATTTACAACATATAAAAAAAATATTAATTATAAATGGGAAATTTATTTATAATGTAAAAGAAAGCAAAAACTCTTAATAATACTATTCTAACCATTTATATGTACGTGTGTGTAAACTTAAGAAAAAAATCACAGAGAAAAGTATATATAATATATGAGAATATATAACATAAAACTGCTACTAGTAAAAATAAAAATAAAAATAAATTTTTTTTAAATAAAATTCTAAAAGTAAAATATAAATAAATGGATAGATATATTATATATAAATGCATTTTTAAATGCATATATATAATAAATATATATAATATGTAAAATGTAAAATGTATAGTAAATGAATTAAATTTATTTTTACTTTCTCTTCTTCTGTTTCATTTTTTGACAATCGACAAATAGGCACTTGTACAAAATCAATATAAGAAAACAAACAGTAAATATTGTAAATTTCGCAATATTATAATATATATAAACAATAATTCAAATACTTATAACATAGCAAATTTATACGAAACCAACTAAAGAATATTCTACTAAATTTTTAATTTTATCTATGCAAAATTAAGTTCTTCATTAAAAACCAAAATAAAAAATAAAAAACAAAAACAAAAACAATACAAATTACAGTGTGTAAAAATGGCTAAAAATCTGAAATACAACAACAATAAAATAAATCAACTGAATATCAAACTACAATACTAAACTCATATATACTACTACATATGTACTACTACAATTACAATAATTTCCATAGAAAACAGAGAGAATGATATATACCAGTATTTTATATTACAATACAATATAAACCAATAAGCAAGCAAAGCAGTTACGAACCCGATTCAAAGCAATAACAACAACAACTAATACAAAAACAATAACAAATTTAAACAGTACCATAATAAACTACAATAACAAAATTATAGTTATTCTCAAATTGAATTTTTTTATATAAAAAAATTATTTAATATTTTTAATATATTTAATATTAATAATATTATATTTATGCATAATATTTTATTTTGTGCTATACTTGATATTTTTTGTTTATTACTTCCAATTTACTTTATTTAATATTATAATTATTTTCAAATTAAATTCTTTTATAAAAATATGTAATTATTATATATTTCTATAATAATAATTTTTTTTTACTCTTCACTTTTTAGTATTTACTTCTGAATAATTTAATTTATTATTTTTTTGTAAAAGTATT